TCAAAAATTTTTTATTAATTTTCAATAAAAAAATTATTAAATTTGAAAAATGATTTTTATTAAATTTTTAAGTAGCAAATTATAATTAAAAAATTTAACCAAAATAAAATATTATGAATAATCAAGATTTAAAAAATAATTTTCATATTAATACAACTGGTCTAAATTTATGTACCTGCTGAGTTTTGGAACTGCATTCAACGTACGTAACTGCACCTATAATTTTCTTCAATTCCTCACCCTATCGTAATTAATTACTAAATCTCATCATTAAACCCACACTAAACATATTATATAATGCACAAATTAATCTTAATATATAAAAATCATAGTTTATTCATATTATAAATTGATAATTAATGTTGAGAAATTAACAGAAGACATGCCTGTGCAGTTGTAATTGGTGTTACTCCAGGATGCTCCGACAAGAAATGTTTATCCTCTCTTAAATCTGCATTTAATTTACATTATATTATATTATTCTTATTTTCATTATCATTATATACAAATTTTATATAAAATAATTTATTAAATTAATTTACAAACACTGACACCATTATAATTTAATCTTTAATATTTTTTCATTACAATTTGGTTTTTAATATTTTTATATTTCACATGTTTAATTTGTTTTATTTCATAACAAAAATATATATATATAAAATCATTGGATCGTGTTTCAATATTTTAAAATATTTTTTTTAATAATTGAATTAATAATATTTTAAATTAAATTATAATAAATGTCAAATATTTTAAAAATTAATTTGATAATTTATACTATATTTAGATATTTAGAGGAGGGGAAAAAATATCTTACCTTGTTTGGTTCCAACAAGCACGATTGGAACGTTTGGGGCATACTGTTTTAGCTCGGGGACCCACTATTAATCCACCCAATTTAAATAATTAATTACTATTAATCACCCAATTTAAATAATTAATTAGTTAAATATACATATATATATATATATATATAGAAGTTTAATTATTAGTGTAAATAAATTTGTTAAGATGAATGTAAATTACCTTTTTGTGGATATTCTCATAACTAGGCTTACTAATAAGAGAAAAAGCTAAGAGAAAAACATCAGCTCCTCTGTAACTTAAAGGCCTTAGCCGATTGTAATCTTCTTGCCCTAAAAATTCACATCAACAAGATTAAACTTAATAATTAATCATACAATTCATTAGCATTACATATAAAACAAGACATATGCATATATATATATATATATATGTAAGTAAGCTGTACAAAATGATTAGCAGAACTTATAAATACATATAACCAGCGCTGTCTCAGATAACCCATTATTGAATTGAACTGAACTGTAACATTCGGATCATAAGTTAAAATTCTAACAACAGTATTATGTATATATAGATGTAGATATCGATATACCAGCAGTATCCCATAGGGCAAGGTTGACAGTGCTACCATCCACGACGACATTGGCGCTGAAGTTGTCGAAAACAGTCGGAACATAATCCTGCAACGATAGAAATTAATGTTTATCATTATAAATATTTAGATGAAAACTGATAATATATAGACACAGATATATATATATATGTATATGTATGGATATATATATACTGTAGGAAAAGTATTGCTGGTGTAGGAAATGAGCATGCAAGTCTTGCCAACAGCTCCATCTCCTACTGTCACACACTTGATAAATCTTGCTGTGCTCATATCCCCAGAATGTTGTTTATTCTCTAAAACTTGCGAGTGATTTTTTGGTGCATGAAAGATATGTATCGTATGTGTGTGTGTGTGTATATATATATGTATGTACATATGTATATGATCAAACTGA